AACATTCTTATGTTAAGAATGATGACCTAGTATTTCACCATATGGAAAAACCTTTTTTTTTACTTCAGCAATTTTTTTGTAATCATTCAATTAGATGCTACTTTGAATCACACTGAGATGTTTATCCCTCGATAGATCTCAGTATACTTGTCTAGTCTTTTTTGGGGGTCAGTTTCAGAAACAAAACTGTTGGGTCACATATTAATAGAATCGCGTTATCTGATCCCTTATCAAAAAGTGGTACTGATCCTCACCATGAGTGCCAGCTGCCCCTGCCGGAGAAAGGTAAGGCTTCTACTCCGATAAATCATCACAGTCTTGCAGTCCCACAGGGGCAGTCCTACCCCGTCCTCCAGTGTCGCCATGAGCCAGCAGTTTGCTTTCCTTGAGAAGCTCACAGATCAAATACAAGATGGATGTGGTTGAGGGATGAAGCAGGCCTTGGTTTAGAGGTAAGGATGAACATTTTTTCCCCATGGGTTTATCGACCATCTTCAGCTCTACATTTGTTAACTGCCTACTTAGGAACTTTGCATGGTTTTACCTTGAGACATTCATATTTTGCTAAGGACATTCTCAGGGCAGAGCTAAGGGTAGTTTCAGTGTCTGTGAAGGGAACTTGGGTTACCCACCTGCCCTGTTCAGCAGCTGGCATGAAGCATGTACAGCTCAGTGGACATGGGTTTTCCTGGCTGAGGAGTTATTGGTTGGTGCCGCTATGTCAGCCTCTCGCTCGTGGTGACGGCATGTACCCAAGGAAACACTGCCAACACCATGCTCTCCACACGATCACGTTCACACTGTCCTGTTAGGAACCACAGGGCATTTCACTGGCTGTTCTATGGAAGTGGATCCTCAGACCACTCCTCCTCGGCTTAGTCTGGAAGCCCCACTGAAACTTGCTTGTCCTGAGAGCAATATGCAAGTTTCCACTGACAGTCAGGTGGGTCCTGTGTCTCAGGTGCACCGGCTGGGAACTAAGCCCAGGTCTCCATCATGGCAGGCAAGAATTCTACCTCTCAACCACCACTGGTCCCAGACCCCCTGCAGTTTTCTCCTTTTGTAGTCTGCCCAATTCCTTTCAGCTCCGAAGTTGTCCTTATTGGTGGGATAATTTTAGTGGTTCCAGTTATTTTTTTTTCCATGGCTCTCAGACACCTTACATTTTATATGTATATAAATTGTTTTTGATCCCAAGGAGAACACATCCCTTGAGGTCACACACAAGTTCAAGTCCACTCTGTTTAGAAAACCCCACAAGTAAGTGGAGCATTTCTAAAGGTGAACTGAGCTCAGATCAGATCTTTGGACGCGCTGAGGGAGGCTTATCTGGCGGTGAAGGCATGAATGCAAACTGCAATGTGATCTACCTGCTTCATCGAAACTGGGCCTTCTTTGACACGCTCAATGAAAGGGGTAGGTACAGGGTCATGCTGAAGAACCTGGCGGCTCTATCTTCTCTCAACTTACTGTGTGGCCTGTCACTTTGCTGTGTGACTTTGGGCAAGTTACCTAACCACCCCGGGCCTCAGCTTCATCATCTGTAAACTGGACATAGTATCTTCTTCAAAGGGGGTGGTCACAGAGTATGAAGGAGGAACACAGGGTGGAAAGTCCCGAAACGCGAACAGCTACTATTTTCTGAGTCCTTGGATGGTAAAAACAGTTCATGGACTTAGCTGCTCACAGAAAGGTTAAAGGCTCTCAAATGCACCAAGGTGCCCGGAAGGAAACCAGAAGAAGCACCGCTGAAACACTGGCCACTGAGAACCTCGGGGAGCACCGGTGTACTCTGACACAACAGGGCAACCATGAGCTGGGCTGCTGTGATGGCAGGTAGCAGGCTGTTGTTTTTCAGGCTGTGAGGCCCACGAGAGCAAGGGCTATATTTGCTGTCTCGCCATTACCATCTCTGCATCTAGAGAAAAACAAGCCAAAGGGCTATAAACTGTAGGAAGGTCCAACTCTCAACCAAGGGGGAGGCCATTGCCTGGAGGAGAATTATCTTGCCCTTGGAAGAGACTGCTCAGTAGGGATGAAGGGG